CCCTCCCTCCCCCAACTCCACCCCTTTGTTTTGCTCAAAATACATTTTACAAGGCTGGATTTTGCTGCTAACCTTTGTTTCATGGACTGGACAAGGGAAGGGGTATTTCTGAAAGCTCTATGGAAAAACCTGTTTAAGCAGCGGTGTATCTAGCTAGATGGAGAGGGCCACAAGGGATGATGGAAGCCATAAACTCATTCCCAGCAGGAAACCAACTGTGACAACATGCTAGCCCTTTGAATAAAGACATGTGGACAACCCCAGAGAAAGGGAATAGTATGCCAGTTCTGTGCAGCTCATCTGGACCAGGTGCACTCCAGTTTTAAGAAAGAAAACAAAGCCTGATTTTTTCTGCACAGGAACAAGCACTCCAAACCAATGTGATGAAAGCTAAGATCCAAAGAATGAGTGCTAATAGCAAATGTCGACTCTACCAAGAAAAAGATGAAACTGTGTCACATCTCATCCATGAATGTCCAAAGACTACAGAAACAGATTAAAAAATCAGACATGATAGAGTGACAAAATTAGTGCACTGGTCATTATGCAACAAATATAATTTGCCAGCCTCCAAAACCCATGGGAACATCAAGTACAGAAGGTATCAGAAAATGATGAACTCAAGATCTTATGGGATTTCCAGATCCAAACTGATAGATACCTTGAACATAACACAGCAGACACAGTAGTAATAGAATAAAGAAATGTCTGGATCATTGACATTGCAATTCCGGGAGATGCAAGAGTCAAAAATAAAGAATTGAAAAAATTAACAAAACACAGAGACATGGCAATTGAAATATCTTGCTTGTGGATGAAACATACCTTAGTGGTCCCAATACAGTGGTGCCCTGCATGATGACGATAATCCATCCCACTGAAATTGCTGTTTAGCGAAATCGTCGTCATGCAAAAATCCTTTCCCCATTGAAATGCATTGAAACCTGGTTTAATGCATTCCAATGGGAAAATACCTCCTCGTCCAGTGAAGTTCGCCTGTAGGGAAGCCATTTTGCGAGCACCCATCAGCTGTAAAAATGGCTGCCCTGCGAAGTATGGGTCCAGAAAACACAGGGCAGCCATTTTGCGAAGCAGAAAAAAAATCATTGTCTTGCGAACAAACGTTTGCGAAGCACGGACCTAATCTCTGGGTAGAAAAAAATCATTGTCTTGCGAACAAACATCTGCGAAGCACGGACCAAATCTCTGGGAGTGCAACCACATGTCTAAGCTATTGAGCTACCTATGTCATGAGCACAGTATGGACAAAATCCCAGCCTTTTAAACTGACCACTAAATGTAAGATAGCAGACTCTGGGCCACAAAAGCTGATGTCACAATATTTTTTTTAGTGCCAAGATTCAAATTCACTATCATGTACATATAGACACACATGGTGGATAGTGACCCCCACTCATATATTTATCTCCTACCAGCCTTCTAATGGTGCAGTAAGGAAGCAATCAAAAATATAATCAAAATCACAGCAAATACAGCACAGTGAGGCTAATGAAAACACTAAAATGTTTAAGCAAGAAAGAACCTAGATAAACTGAAGAGGATTTTAACAGAATATTGTCATCTTTATACATCTGATGAAGCAAATTCTTGATCCTAACACCTCATGCTTCAATACTTTTGTTAGTCTTAAGCTGCCACAAGGCACTGTCACTTCTTCTGTCTATAGCAGACTAGCACAGCTGAGTCTCGAGTTGAGCAACTGTATTGCTTGTAACATTAAGCAGATAACAGTGGATGTTTTTTCAAAAGAGAAAACAGCTATTTTTGAGCAGTAAATTGAAAAGTGTTACTGGTGTTACAAACAAATGATGAAGACTAGTACAAGCTGAAAGCTAGTTATTTCCGATTTTTACGTAGTCTAATAATGGTATCACCTGTCTCTGCTTTAGTATTGTATAAGGACCAGATGGCTTTGTTTTTTTCTGAACTATGGAGGATGCCCTGAACAGTCAGCTACTGTACCATTTAGAAGATAGCATGGACAACATCAGCCAAGCAGGATCACAAACTGAAGAAAACATCAGCTTCCTATCACTAGGTAATACTATTGATCTGGCTTCACTTGGCTTCACCTAGGGGATAGACTACATTTTATTCCCAATTCTCTGATGGGCATTCGCCACATTTTTGTCTGACCACATTCCCTGGCCAAATAGGAACATAGAGTTTCAAAAGATGGTTATAGAGGCGGGGAAAATGCTGAATACCTGGCAGCACTTTGTTGAGCTGGGGGACAAAATACAACCAAAGGACACCAGAAGTGGAATTGAAACCTACATTCCTGACTTTTATTTGCAGCCTGCATGTTTGAACGTACATTTAAGAAACATCATAGATATCTGGCATGACTTTTGGGACACCCCCCCCCTGCGCGCACTATCTACAATACATTGGTACACAGCATGATGAAAAGTCATATAGGTCAAAACTAGCTTTTTCTTTTTTTAGTGGTCTAATAAAGGAATCACCTGCCCTTGCTTTTTTACTGGTGTTACAAGTTGCAGTGCAGCTGAAACACATTGACACTAAGCCCCATGATTCTAGGAGCTGTTCTTTCTTTTAATTTGTCAACAAAGATTCAAATTCATCTCTCTTATGTGAACCTTTTAAAAAGTTATACTCTTCCATTTCATCAATACAGGTCCAAAACGGGATGCCTCAGTATGAACAGAAATAAAGGAACAAAGCCAGATATTATTTGCATACTCTAAATGACTAAAGGATTGATCTAGATCACTGGTTCTTAACCTTGGGTTACTCAGGAGTTTTGGACTGCAACTCCCAGAAACTCCAGTCAGGACAGCTGGTGGTGAAGGCTTCTTGGAGTTGTAGTCCAAGAACATCTGGAGGCCCAAGGTTGGGGACCACTGCTCTAAATGACTACAGGATAAGTAACAAAGGTTAAGAACCACTGATCTAGATCAGTGGTTCCCAACCGTAGGTAACCCAGATATTCTTGGACTGCATTTCCCAGAAGCCTTCACCACCAGCTGTGCTGGCCAAGGTTTCTGGGAGTTGCAGTCCAAGAAGACCTTATTGGCCTCCTGCACTCTGCTAACAAAATTATCACAAACTCCTATATTTGTGAAGGTAAAAATCAGATATACCGTAGTTAGCCATAAATTGGATTGGAGCAACAGACTGGAGTGGAATGGTGAGAGATAACTGTTTCCTTCACTATCATTTTTCCAATCTGAATTTCACATTCTTCTGCCCCTCAAAACTGCAGACCTAGGAGGTGAGGGAAAAGATGTCCCTCTCACGGCAGGTAGCAGAAAGAGGTCAGAGAGGGGTGAGACTAGGAAAATGACATAAAGGGGTGGTAAAGAGAAATACCATAGCCCCAAATCCAGTCAGCAACTAGTCTCCAAAGCTTTTAAATTTTAAAAAAAATTCAGACTCCCAATCTCAATTCAAATGAGTAAACCAAATCCCTAAGAGCTGACAATACCTAAAAGTAAATTATATATTTTATAGACAGGTCAAACTGGCTTTCTGGCTCACAAGCAGAAAAGTCTCTTTGCACTTTTAGTCAATCATGGCCAATTTGGGAATGTGTGCATTTTAATTAAGCCAATCAGGCTACTGTGATACCTTCATATTTTATGAATGGCAGGGACAGTAAGAGAACAGCCAGTGCTCGCAAGATTCCAAGTCAAATGAAACATAGAAATATGATTTGTGAGCTCATGGTAAACTCAGGGAAGATTTCTGAGAAACCAAGGGCATAAGATTGACAACAACTTCTGAATCAGCATGTAGAAAAGTATTTTAGCAAAAAGGAAAATTCCATGTCAAAGAAGATGACATGTGTGCTAGAAGTCAATGTGTCATTTATTCTGATCAGACATTCCCATATATTAATATGTAGAATGCTTTCCAGCACTTATGCCATAAGTCCTCACAACAGTTCTGGCTGGCCAAGGGGTGCCTTGCTTAACGATTGCCTCATTAAATGATGAAACCGCTTAACAATGAAGTTTTTGCAATCGCTTTTGTGATCGCAAAACGATGTTCCTATGGGGAAAATTCGCTTAACGATGATCAGTTCCCTGCTTCAGGAACTGATTTTTCACTAAACGATGATTCTGATTCTGAAACAGCCGGTCGGCGGTTCTAAAATGGCTGTCCGCTGTGCAAAATGGCTCCCCGCTGTGTTTTCAGGACGGATTCCCCGCTTACAGGCACCGAAAATGGCCGCCCCTATGGAGGATCGTCGCTGGACGGTGAGTTTTCAGCCCATTGGAATGCATTGAACTGGTTTCAATGCATTTCAATGGGATTTTTCGTTTCGCTTGACGAGGATTTTGCTTAACAGCGATTTCAACGGAACGAATTATCCTCGTCAAGCGAGGCACCACTGTATTAGCTTTGAATACACATTTCTCATACAGAAGATCCCAAGTTCAATCTAAGGTATCTCCATTAAAGGAATCAATCAGCAGGTGGTGTGAATGATCATTGCTTGAGACATGGGAAAGCTGCTGCCAGTTATTGCTGACAATACTGCACTCCATGGCCAACTAGCCTGACCCGATTTAAAGCAGCCTGTTGTGTACCTTATAGTTATTTGATCCCCATATCCCATTTTTAAATGGCAAACTGAGATTGAAAGGACTTGCCCAAAGAAACCAAGATGTATCTTAGTTAATCAGGAATATAACTCAAATGTATGCCCCTCTTACAGGATTGGTGACCTAGAAAAGAGAAGGTGGGCAGGAGTCAAACCTATTAGCAGGTACATACTCAAGTGAGCATGTTGGTCAGACAGAGAGCAGTTCAGCCTTTGCACAAGCAACAAACTGCTTACAGTTAAGCCAGAGGACCTATAGGATCTAGTGGATCTCTGCCAGTCTCTTAAGTCAACTGATGCCTGATAAAATTCCATTACGATACCACTGTAATTGCAAGTACTTCAGATGCAACTGTTTGATTATAATGTTCCCATTAGTGAAAGGTGGAGCACAATAGCCACTTACCAGACTGAATTTATCCTTTACTGGGCCATAATCACTCATCATTGTGCTCTTGGTATTGATTTTCAGAACATCACCAGTGGATGTGCCAACATAGAAATAATTATCATCATCTGTCATCTGGGTAAAGGGGAGGAAAAGAAAGATTAAGAGTATATGTTGATTTTTTGAAAATCATATATTCATTGCTATTTTAAAAAATTAACAGGTTAAAGACTGGATGCCATCGCAAATAAAGCAACCTAGAAAGTATGCAGGACATCTTCTAACTGTATTTTCAGGTCCTGATGCTGCTGTCAATGCTGTGCAGCTTATTTATTTACTTAATAACTTGTTACAATTGTATCCAAACCTTCACACACTAAAACTCAATTGATTGCATTCACAGAGACCATGAAGAAGAAGAACATAATTCAGTGAAAACAAAATGCAACAATAAGGGTAACAGCAGAATAAAACAACAACAGCACAGCTGGCTAAAGCAACTGAAGTGTTCATAAAACCCTGGAAAAATTAAATTGTCTTTCCCTTCACAAAGGTTTGTGACAGCTGAGTGTTTCAGAGGGAGAGTTCTCAACTGTGAGATGGGAGAGTCCCAGACAGCCCAGCCAAAGTTGCTGCCTGCATAATTTCAGAAAGCAGGGACATACAGAAAAGAGCCTTCTATGACTGTCTTAACATTGGGGCAAACATAGTTCCCAGCCATGCATCGTGCCTTCTGGCCTACCTAACCAGGACTGCTAAAAATCCTGCTCTTTTTGCTTGTAGGCTCAAATTCCCTTTACACTGTAAATGCCATATTAGCAGACCTCTTACCATAGTACATGTAACTATTCTTTTCAGCTGCCCTGTTTGACAGTCAGTTGGTCGGATTTTTCTGTTGGGTAAGTCCAATTCCCATACTCGAATGGTTCCGCTGCGGTCAAAAAAGGTACTTCAAAATCAATTTCAGAGAGAGCAATCTCACGTCAATCTCTTCAGCACTATATTCAAAGGTATGTTTGCTATTTTTCCTGAAGTCTAGCAATATCAGGCATACCAGACTAAGGAAGGTAAATAATAGCAATGTGCACAATCTATTCTCCTGTAATCCACAAGTCGGGGTGGGCGGCACTGGTTTGGCTGATTATATCATTCTGGAGAAGACTGTTCTGACCACAGCACCAAATGCTCAGAAACCATCTATTTTCTATGGATTCTGCCTTCAATTGTTTATATGTACTGTAAGTAGCAATTATTCAGGATACAAAGCCAAAAAGAAAATGTAGGTAACTGAATCCACTGCTTCACTCTCTATTAAACTGATGATGGCACACTATGAGTGACGAAAGAGAGAAAGACACTGGCAATTACAGAAATACCCTTCTTTCAATATTCAAAGGCCATATCACACAACATTTTTACAGTGTCTTGTCTTTTGCAGACCACAGAACGTGAATGCAGGAGGAGTCTAGTGTTATTAATCACAGAGTTATTGGTGCAGTCTCATGTCGCTATGTTGGCAGGGCCTTCTGCTCCCCAGAGCCTCCTAATGCAATGCTTGCATAAGCAGTGCAATCTGATATTTCTATGCCAGCAAGAATTTCTGCTCCACGCAAGCTCAATAGGGTACTGGACAGGATGTGTGATATTAGGTCTTCCTAGTTATACTGATATGTTTAATTTGTGCCAAAATGCATGTCAGAAACCCTGATGCATACTCTCATGCAATTCCCACCCAGAAACATTGAAGGAAAAATTACTGTCATTTCTTGCTATGTAGGTAAGTGGGTTTTAGAAAATTAGATGCATTTGAAGGGTTGGTTTTTTCAAAAAAAGTAATGGGTAGCTTTTCTACCAAAGAAAAGTCATACTTTCCGGCACTAATGAACATCTCATCCCTGCAGTTGGAATACACCAGTGTGGTTGGGTTCCCAGCACTACGAGCAGAGGCAGGACTGCCACATATGGCCTCTTTCTTCAGGACACTCCACACTACCACGCTGCCAAGAAAGAAAGAGGATTTTTATTCATTCATTAATTCATTCATTTGTCTCACTGAATTGTTTCCCAAAAGAAGCACAGCATACAAGAATTGGCTGAGAAGGGGGAAAAAGCCATTAGACAGGTAAGGAGTCTCAGGAGTACCTTTCCCTGCTTCCAAACCCAGGACAGCATACAAGAATTGGCTGAGAAGGGGGGGGGGAAAGCCATTAGACAGATAAGGAGTCTCAGGAGTCTCAGGAGTACCTTTCTCTGCTTCCAAACCCAGTGATTCTATCCTATTTCACAAGGCAAGTGCAATTTGAGGCTAAAATCCAATAAGTCACAACTAGAATATGGCCATTGAATCAGTGGAACTTACAGAGTTCTCATCAAATCCCCATTGATTCATTGGCCGTCGTGGAACTTACAGAGTTCTCATCAAATCCCTACTGATTCATTGGCTGTCCTCCTGTTGAAGCTTACTACTAGATTCCAGCCTATAAACTAGTTGCAGCTTACTACTGGATTCCAGCCTATAAATTGCCAGTTGGGACTGGAAGCAGGAAAACCAGTAGAAAGGAAGAGAAGAAGGGACCGACGGAGGCCTAGATTTCTTGACTGCTCGTTCACCTCATGTCAAACTCTCATTTGGCATTTGGACCAAAATTTGGCTACTTTGAAGCAACTGATCTGTGCACTGAAACAGAGTGTACATTTCTTCAAGTCAAATTTTATTTTCACAAGATTGTCAAGTAGCAGCAAATCTCATCTAGACTGTTCCTTGGCATGTCATGCAGCAATACAATCTTTACCTTCAATTTAACAGCTCGGTTCAAAGATTAACTATGCCAGACAGTAGGATGAAGGATACTGACTACAATACAAGTGCAATGTCAGAAGCCTTATTGATGCCTGTATACTTGGGTATTGTGGCTACAAACTGTTACAGACAGTTGAACATATGCTGCCACTAAAATATCCGAGCCAAAATAGACACATGGTTTGGCTCCCTCACATCACTCAATTCTGAGCACAAGAATACTTCTATCAAAGACACTGGAACGAAGTATGCTCAGCTGTTAATTGTGTTTTCCTGTGTGAGAGCATTGTGTGGCATCTTGACAGAATAAGCTTTGTATACAAACACACTTGGAAAAAAGCATGATATGCAAATTAAATGCTTGTGCTATAGCCATTTAATTTGTGATCCAATAATCCCAAGCTCTCAGCCAGGTTCCTGAGAAGCTGTATTTCATCAGTCCCAGGCAGGCAGCAAACGCAGCACCTGTCAGGCCACAAAGTGTTCCTGCTGGACTATGTTCAGTTTGGTAGGTCTGACTTGGGCAATTATAACACAGGTGACATATGTGCTATTCTAACATCCTCATCATCCCACCAACTATGAGATAACCCATGCGGTTGAGAACAGGGAAGTAGGCAAATTAGAGCCAAGGGCATACATGTAGACAAATAAACATCTCTGAAGATCAAAGAGAAAAGAATTCAAGTGATGTATCATTGAACAGAGAATCGGCAATGAAAGAGAAATAATTTCTAGTCCTCACACGAAGAACTCTCACTTCAAATACTCTCAATCAATTGGTAGAGATTTTTGGAATGAAGAGGCATAACCTTTGGTTTTGATTTGTCACTTTGCCTGACCAAAGATTATGAGAGGTTCTCTTAAGACCTGTCCTCCTTTTCAGGTTTCCTTAAGATATGTCTAGAAAGATAGGGAGAAAAAGATGAGGTTAAAAATCTGGGAACGATGGATGGGACTTCTGTTTCTTTGGGGCTGCAACTCCCAGAATTCATCAGGAATTTCTCCAGGCAGAATCTTGGGAGCTGCAGCACAAAACCAGTAATTTAAAGAGGAGCTTTTCCCACCTCCATGTGGGCACTATTATACTGCCCTTTTAAGAAGAAAGGGGAGCTGCAGCACAAAACCAGTAATTTAAGAGGAGCTTTTCCCACCTCCATGTAGGCACTATTATATTGCCCTTTTAAGAAGAAAAAAATTGCTCCCAATGCTGCCTTGGAGAGTTGCAAGGGTTTAGGGGGTTTCAAGGGAAAATGGAACAAGTAGTCTTGATGCCTATGAACTACCCATCCTATGCTGCTTGGAGACCCCCATGAACCCTTGCACCTCTCTGACGCAACACCAGGAGCAGTTTCTTTCTTCATGAAAGACCAATATATAATGGTGACAGGCACCCACATGAAGATGAGAAAAGCTCTTCTTTAAAGAAGAGCTACATCTTGGGCTACATCTACCAAGATTCTGCCTGGGGGAATTCCTGGCTAATTCTGGGAGTTGCAGTCCAAAAGAAATGTAAATCCCATGTTACCTGGAACCTATATGCTCCTAATACATTTAACTGATGGGCCAATTTAAAGATCCTTTGTCACTTGTATTCATTAAAACCAGATGTTACAAATACACGTGCAACTATTTCCCCCATTTTCCATGCATCTTCAGAAGAAAACAAAAGAAAAAGACAGTCAGAACTGTGAAAACCAAATTCAAAAAATCAAAATGAGAACAGGCCTGGACAGCCCTTTCCCTTAACAATTTAAAACAGTAATGTAATTTTCTCTGTATCTGATCTCCAGTTTCCAAAGGAAAAAGAAAGTTATTTCTCAGTGAAATTTACCTTCCATCATCCTGACCTCCCAGTGACACTAAGTAAAGGTCATTTGGTGAGAATGCAAGATTTTCAATTTTGCCTTTGTGAAGTGACAGCCGAGCCAACATCTCTCTTTTTTGGTAGTCCCATAGGATGACATCAGCCTGGAATGTAAAGATAAGGATCCACATGACAACAGCCCTTAGGTCAGCTCCAACATTTGTGACTCAAAAGATACTTGGAACAGAATATTCTCATTTTTAAAAGCCATAAACCAGTCTTCTTTGCAATCCAAAGTGCAACAGATTAAGATGGTAGCCCATCAAAACTGCTACTATGTTTTAAGCCATTTGGGACTATAGTCTTAATTCTTTCAAGGCCCTTGTAATTTTGGATCAGCCACGGAGTGCATCTCTTTAAAACATATGCTTTCTCTCCATCACAGTACATCACAATCTTTGAACTGAATATTAAACTTCAACAATTAAATACTGTACCCTGTTGGAAACTCGACACAGGCCTGGCCCTGTCAATGAGCCTAGATGGAGACGAAAACAACATGACTGTTCAGTGGTGTAATACTGTATACATAACACTGGAGTCATAACACAATGTCAAAGCAAATCAATCATAACAAGATTGAAGAAAACATTTCCAGGATCATGCATTCCCCTGGTTACTACAACATCCACTGGGAATAAAAAAAAAAAATTAAACAAGGGCCATCATCTACCTTGAAGCCCATGAATGTGATCTGACCAGAAGCCACATAGGATCCACTTGAAGAAATTGTGACGCAGGAAACATTGTTGGTGTGTCCATGTAAAAAATCCTGAGTGCGAATGTTTATGCCCTGGACAATAACTGTACAGCCCAGAGGATAGATGAGGTGCTCCCGGTCTGGATGGCAGATGAGGCCACAAGGAACATGTCCTGCATGCAAAAGGAGGACAGGAAAGAAAAAAGTTAAGTGTCAAGCTATGAAGGAAAAAACATATTTTCCTGAGTAAGAAAATATTCTTTTGATGCTGGATGTTATTCCCCATATGTAGTAAGTAACCACTGGTGATCACAATCTCAGAGCACACTAGCCCTCTCCATGCTGCCTCTCATTGCCCAACACACTGACTCTACTGCACTTTTTGTTTGAGCTGTATTCTACAAGTGTTTCTTAATGCTTCCTACCACTCAGATTTTCTCCCAGTTTCCCATTGCACTCTTTTCTACATAGACATTAGGGAACATACTGCACTGAATGTACTGAGTTTGATCTAGTCTGTAATCGAAAGGTAGAACTCAAGACCTTTTTGTTCCACATGGAATGACTGCCAGTCCATTCTAACTATGAGCAGAGATCTGAGAGGTAGAAGGATGTGGTTCTCAGCTGCTTCAAATATCTAATCACAGCATGTTTGTATAAAACAACAAAATCAACGTACAGAACTCTATGTCTCCTGTAGCTTCTGCAAAATGTTGAAAGAATTCCTTTTCCACAGCCTGGACAACAATGGGATTGTTGAAAAATCCAGCACAGACGCTCAAACATTCTCTAGTTACCGGTAGTTCTGTATGTCTTTGAGATCGAAACCCGTAAATCCACTGACTCTCTGTAAACTAAAGTCTATATTCTAGGTTCTAATAAAACACTTCAGCCTGTAACTACTTACTTTTGAGAAACCACACAAAGTTCTAGATATTAGGCCCATGTAAAGATGATGCTCTAAAATTTTGGAAAGAAATTTCAGAAAGTCCAATGAGACATAACAGAAATGCCTCATGGATTAAGAACATTTGTAAAGAAACTCACAGAAAACATATGGGTGATATTCTAATAATAACTGAAATTATTAAGAGGCAAATAAAGACTGTTAAAAACCGGAGTGCACCTGGTACAGATGAGCTGCATGGGTTTTGATTAAAGCATTAACAAGTCTCCATCAACACACAGCACTGCAATTTAATCACCTCCTTCAAAATTCTACAACCAAAGATTGGATGAGAACAGGCTGCACATTTCTGATAATAAAGGATCATCAAAAGGACAATGAACCTAGTAATTATCAACCAATTACATGCCTTCCAATAACGTTCAAGCTTCTCACAGGAGTATTTGCAAGTTCAATATATAATTACTTAATTGAAAACTCCCTATACCCAACTGAACAGAAAGGGAACTTTAAAAAGTCAAGAGACATGGAAGATCAGCTACTTATTGATAAAATTATACTAAAAAAAACAAAAAGACAAAAAACACATCTTAATATGGCCTCAATAGACAATAAAAAGGCATTTGACTCTATTATATCCAGCTGGAATAATAGATTGGACCCAAAATGAATTAGAAGATTTGGATTGAAAAATATGGAAACTAATAAAAATGTATGACACACTACTTCCAAAAATTGATGAGGACAGATTATATTTACCTTGAAAAATTGGCGGCCATAGATTACTGCAAATATAGCATGTAGCAGAGGAGGAAAAAGAAGCCTAAATGGTGTAAAATAGTACCACTAAAGATAAATTACTTAAGGCAGTGAAAATGGAGAATATTTTGAAAACTACAGAAATAAAGGCGCAATATAAGAAACAACATTTTGAAAATAGATTAAAAAGTTGGAAAAATAAACTACTACACGGACAACATCTGAGAAATATTGATCAATGGCATGACATTAACTCATCACGGGCATGGTGAAAGCTGGGGACCATTAAGAAAGAAACTGAAGGCTTGATTTTTGCTGCACAAGAACAAGCACTGCAAATACACAGACAGCATGTGCTATGAGCAATTCTCTTGAAGAAAGCTAGGAGCTGGCTGGGAATGAAGGACGGGGCTGCTCTAGGCAGGAGGGTTCAGTCATGCTGCCAAAAGTGACAGGCTGCCTCTGACAGAATTATGGAACTGGAGAGCTGGAAAGGAACATGTCACAGTCCAGCCTGCCGAGAGGTAAAGCTCAGTTTTCAGCCTTCAAGTATAATAGATGATTGTTTGTTATATTTCCAGCCCATCTTTTCTAGGCACAAGGAATATTAACCTACATAATCACTAATAACTGACAGGAGTTGAGGGAGGATCTCCAAGGTGGGTGACTAATCTTGTAAAAACTATGGTTTGTGACCTGTCATAACGGATATTTGTTCCATTAAAAATTGTATGATTCTCATACAGTGATGAAAGCTAATATCCAAAGAATGAGTGCTAGAAGTAGACTACATCGTGCACACAAAAGTTAAAGAACCGACAGAAAGATATCAAAAGACTGAAGAAAATCTTAAAATCAAAATTAAATGGGGAAGATACAATCAAAGCCATAAACTATATAAGTCCAATAAATAAATAAATAAACAAACAAACAAACACATGGGCCGTTCTACTAATTAGATACTCAGCTGGAATAATAGATTGGACTCAAAACGAACTAGAACAATCAGATTGCAAAACACAGAAGCTAATAAACAGTGGACAGATTATATTTACCATGAAAAATCAGAGGCTCTGGATTACTGCAAATACAGGAGGTATTAGGGGAAGAAAAATATGCCTAAATTATTATATTAGTACAAGCAGAGAAAAAATTACTGAAAGCAGTGAAAGTGGAGAATATTTTGAACAATAATATATTGAGAACAAAGGCTCAATATAAGAAACAGCAAGTTGAAAATAAACAGCTGGAAAAATAAACCTCTGCAGGACAACACCTGAGAAATATTGATGCAAAGCACAATCATAATTCAACATCAGCATGGCTAAAACTGGGGTCCCTGAAGAAAGAAAATGCAGGCTTGGTTTTAGCTGCACAAGAACAAGCACTCCAAACCAACGTGATGAAAGCTAAGATGGAAGGACTTACAGTAGTGCTAATAGCAAATGTCGACTCTGCCAAGAAAAAGATGAAACTGTGTCACACCTCATCTGCGAATGTCCAAAGATTGCACAGATTACAAAGTTAGACATGATAGAGTGGCAAAAT